GTGCTCTTCGTTGTCACCTCTAGCGAACCATGTGTTGTCCGTTGGCTTTCAATTGCATTATCAAAAGAACGAAGAAAAATGACAAGATCGTGCCAAAAATATGCATACACATTAAAAAAAGCATTAATACTCTCCGACCTCGATGTTGTTTTCATTAGACCGGACATATGATAATCCTTATAATAAGCCGGAATCCATGACTCCCTAATCTGATAGAGTTCATCAAACCATGAGTCTCCACGTAATCCATATGAATCCATCATGTTGAGCCATTTCATCTCAAATTCATCAGGGGCAAKGTGAACATTCCACACTAACTTATTAAATTCGCTAACAAACGGTGTACGATGTTGGAGGTAATTACTAATCTGTAAAATACACATTTATAAGGAAAACTTAAAAAAGATGAAAAATTAACAAAAACAAAAAAGTTTCATCGTAATTACCTTAGATTTGAGCTTTTTAGTGATATGCCACATACACAATCGATGCTTGTATTCAGGAAATGCAATGAGAATTGCTTGTTTCATCGACGCACATTGGTCAGTGATCACAAAACGTGGTTGACGTCCATGAGCTTTTACAAACGCTTTCAATACCCAAGTGTAATCAACAACAGACTCATTGTGAATCAAAGCAGCTCCAACAACGACAGATTTCTTATGATTATCAATTGCAACAAACGGAACAAATATCATGGCATGCCTATTAAAAGTAAACATTATAAATTAATACGAGCTATAACATGTAATGTAGATAACACAAATGAAATAGATTCGTATAAATTGTAACTTACTTATTCGTCCTAAAGGTTGCATCAAATGATATTGCATCACCAAATTCCCTATAATTCGTACGCGCAGTTTCATCAGCCCAAAAAATCGCTAACAGCTCCTTATCATCACACTTGTACTCGAAAAAAAACTCGGGACACACCTTCCTCCTATTAGACATCACATTTAACAACATTTGTGCATCTTTATTGCCAACAAAATAAGCCATATCGCGTTTGAAGTTTTGATGATCCCTTACRGTGCCACCCGAGCAATCTACACCACCCGTAATTGCTTTCCTAAATCTATGGGATTTTGTGACACCAACCTTCGAACTAGAACCATGAAATACATTTTTGTGATCAGCGTAGTGTAGTTGCCTTTTAGAACGTGAGAACCTCATCTCCTCCTTATTAAAAAGCATGTGATTGTGTTGCTCAATAAATTTATAAACTTCATACTGCCTCCGTTCTTTAACAAAATGAATCTTCAAACATGTTTCACAACCAGAACGCTTTACATTTGAATTACGGATCATGCGATCACCAGGGAGAACATCTAAGGAATCAAAATACTTACTTGGTGGCCTTCCTTCCTTACTACACACATAAAATCGAGACGTGATAYGACCCTTCTTATTTATCTTCTTGTTGGATAAACGTACATCAAACCCAGCTTCATTAGCATACTTCCKGTACATTTTTTCAACCGATTCTACGGTCTCAAATACATCACCCACCTTCGGCTTATATTCTGCGTCTACATTGGGAAACCAAAATTTCGACCCATCGTTCGTTTCCCCCATTGCATCAGATTGATATTCTACAAAAATCAAACAAATTGTAGCTTTTTCATTTACTAACTTGCTGTTGGTCCATAAAAAACACGAATTTGTATACGTTTCATCTTTCCATCTAATGAAAATACAGGTTGGGTTGCATGTTACATTGAATTTAAATTTCATTAACACCATCATGAACACAGTTTTTAGTATTCATTAACGTATATATGACTTAAAATGCGATAATCACTGCTTCAAMTCACAAACGTATGTATTAGGTTCATCAGCTAATTTAACCTGATTCAAAAACTACGACTTTATGTTCTCGTGCAATCAAATCAGTTAAGAAATCTGAATCACCATATACAAGCATGTTGTTATAATGCATTACAATATAGGTTCATTAAGAACATGCTACTTTGCATTTGGTTTGATTAACAACATCATGAAACCAGCAGCACCATGTAATTACATCATGTATAACATCATGTATAACAAAGCAGCACCAGGTAATTACATCTTTTTTTTACCAGGTAATTACATCATCTTCTAGTCTGAACGAAGAATCTGGTTTCATGATGGTTAATGCATGGGTAATACATTAATACATTAATTTCTAAATCAGCAACATCMGGAAGCAATATACTTATAAAGTGTGCAGTACGATCATGTATGCACGTTTGTGTCTACTTCTATCAATACGTTGCCGATTCATAACATCGATTGAGCATAAGCTTTAAAGAATGAAGATTCATTAAATTTCTAATGAAACCAGTTTTTAGGTTCATTAACATATAACAATGAAAGCAAATCAATACCTTCATCTTCATTGCTCAAAGATGCAACGTCATCATCGACGAAATCTACAAAAACTCCGTCGTTGTGATCACTTAAWGTTTCGTTTCCATCGTTACAGACATCTTCATTCGTCATGGAATAATGGCATTGATCTTCTATTGTTTCGTTAATAAYTGTGTTTGCATTTTCACCACCTTCATCAAAACCTTGGCCGTCGTTCGAAGAATCGAAAACAGTGCTTTCTTGGATGATATCCTTACTGAAAGTCTCGTTGAATGGCATATAATCCATAATATTAACACTGGGTTCTATAGAGCTATTGAAGAAACAAGAACATTCACCAATTCCAATCTTATCAAATTTAAGTTATGAAGAATCAATTGCATCTAAAATCAACGATTCCASCCATCTTAATCAAAGA